TAGGCTCTGGAAAGTCGTTATCTATTGCGACATGCCTCAGAATTGTGAAATGCCTTGAAAAAAATAGTAACTAAACTTGTAAATTGATGACCATTGTCTCACCTGTACAAACTCACTGTCTTCAGGTCTTCTGGTCTGGACTGGAGAGAAGTTGCCGGTCACCAGGTTTCTCAGAACACGAACATCTGGTCTTGTCGGGTTTAGAATCATCACTGCAGTCAACTGCATCAGTCAGCAGTCACCTAGCATAGACATTAAAAAGTTACATGCTTGTCTCAAGCAAATGGTAGGCAAAATGCAGAATTTTTCTCATCTGATTCTCCTCTTGGGTCTTCAAGTCACCTGGTCTGGTCCAATAATGCAATCCAGTGTTGTCAGGTTCAGACAGGATTCCCCACTACTCCATCAGTCAGCAACCATCTAACTATATAACGTTACTATATTAGACATTACAAGTTACACCAAGGAGGTTAAATAAATTTTTAAGTACTTGTATTTAACCTCCTTGGTTACACGCGTGTCTAAAATAATACCAAGTATTAAAATGGTAGGTAAAATCCAGAATTGGGATTTTTCTCACCTGATATTCGAGGGTCTGCATGCCCTTTTTCGTTAACCGTTATGGGCTATTTTAATTCACCGTTAATCGTTGCCGGCCCGCTCTAATTCAACGTTAAGCGTTATCAGTATATTCATCGTGAAGCGTTATGGGTCGTTTTAATTCAACGTAAAACGTTATTTGTCATCCTGAATTCAGCGTTAAGCGTTAATGAATAATTCTTCGTTACGCCTAATTTTGCCTTTCAAAGTGCAGGAAAATGCGTCATTGAAGGTTTAAAAATACAAAATTTCTCGGGGGAGAATGCCCCCGGACCCCCCTACATTGCTCGCGCCTTTGGCGCTCGACTCGCGCTTCTGCGCTTGGTCCCGTCGGCTCTAGCCAGACCCAGTTTACCCTTCAATTTCCGGAGGTTTGCGGAGAGTTACAGAATTTTTTTTAACGAATCCGTCAACCTTGACAGGCAAATTAACAAAAATCTTGAGTAAAATATGAAAACATCAGAAGGACCGACAAACACTCTCAACACCATGATTTGCCTCTCAAAATGCGGGAAATTGCGTTTTTGAAGGCTTAAAAATCCTAAATTTCCAGGGGGAGCATTCCCCCGGACCCCCCTAGATTACGAGCGCCTTTGGCGCTCCCATCTCAAAATCCATCTGTAAAACTGGGCAGACTGAAAAAATGCAAGCTGGCCGAAGTCGACTCGGACACCCCGGTATTTGTGGACGCACTCGGGGACCAGGGCAGGTGGGAAACACAGGGAACACATATCTTTAATGCATGCTTCATTACATGTAGTAATAAAGGTATACGTAATTTTGTCAGTGATCACCTTTTCCACAAAGCGAGATACCAAATCCAGTGCAGCTCGAAAAAAAAGCCTGTCAATTTACCGTTAAGCGTTGCCGGACGTCCTGAATTTACCGTTAAGCGTTATCAGCCCTGCTGAATTTACCGTTAACCGTTGCCAGGACCCCCCCATGCAGACCCTCATATTCCTCTCGAGTCTTCAAATCATCTGGTCTGGTCCAATCCACTGTTGTCAGGTTCAGACAGGAGTCCCCACTACTGCAGCATCAGTCAGCAGCCACCTAACTATACAGACATTTAGAAGTTAAACACTTGTTGACATAACGTGGCGTCTTGTTACAGGTTTGTTCGAAATACAAACATGTACATTGAAGGTAATAGGGCCCAAATAGTCTTACCTCATAGTCATATTCGTAAGAACGACTATAGTCTCTTCTCAACACCTTCCCGCCATGACACTCGTGCACTAGCCATAGTTAGTGAATTCTTGTCCAAACTTTCACCGTCAAGAAACGCGTATTTTCTCCCGCAAATATCCAAAGAACGGCACAAATCCACCGTAGAAACGTTCCTTACGGTTAACTGCACACTTTAAGGCTTTTAGACGGAATATTTGCAAACAAAAAGGCGAAAACTTACGCTAAAAGTTGGAGGAAAATACCGAACGACACGCCACACTGCAGGGTGCGCACACAGCTGGACTGCACCAGGGCGATCGGACCGTACCACAGCTCGTTAATTACGTAGGGGTGAATGTAGCTTTATCATTATTGTTTTTGTAAATTGGTCATCAATATTTCATTCCCAGGAAGAGAAACCTTCAAAATAAATAATGTAGTCCTGATGATTTCGTACTTGTTTTCTGTGACAAACACAGTGATAGGTATAATAGCGCCTCCAACAGAAAGTGTTGATCCCTAAACTTAATGGACCTTTCCTATATTCCCGCCTTCCTCGTCAACATAAAGATGCAAAAATCTAACCACAGATGTAACAGCCACGCTCTCTCATTCGTCAAACCGCTAATTGTCATGTTATATCATTGGTTGAACTGATAATCTAATAAGCTGGCTAGAATTGCTATTGCTGATTGGCATTTCCTTGATTCATTTGTGTACAGTACAAACATTCTCCTGAGAAAAAACATTGTATATTTCCCCCCTGGTATGTTTCCAAGGAAAATTAGAATTTGGAATCACGAATTTCAAGAAACTGCATTTTTTCAATGACTGTATTTATGTATATGTTTGCATGCGTGAACTGTAGCTGAGCACTGGCCGCACACAAATGCACCTGTCCTTGGTGCTGAACGCCATCCATATACACTAGCTGCACATAAACACTCCTGTCCTTGGTGCTGAACGCCATCCACACACAGGTAAATACGCCTGTATATTGTGCTCTTAAGTATAAAATGATGACAAAAATTTGCTAAAAGCTAAGAAATGACAGTAGATATCAATAGCAGACGGATTTCCTCATCTAGAATATGTTTTTTTTTTTTGCCGCCTAGAAATTGCAGTGGATGCCTTTAGGAAAACTTAAATTGGTTCTTGTTTCTTAACGAGATGTTTAAGCATATAACTCATTGTGCTAGTAAAAACACACACAAAAGAACACACACACACATAATGTCAGCATACAAGGATATTACATTTATTGACAAATCTGAAGTCATTGACATTGCTAGGCACACACTGGCACACAAGTCAACTCAACACAATGGATTGAATGATTATTACGGTTGCCAAAACAGTGTTGAAAAGGGGTTCTATTTTAAACCTTGCCTCAGATTTTTTACGAAACAATATCCGTAGCTATATTGCATGATCTTTATAATCATGCTCCAATTTTTTTACCACTCTATATTCACATTTGAAATTCTGGTCCCTCCATATTCATAATTGTATTCCAATACTTTGTTCAAAGCCTTAAATAATTGATATTATATACCAGCATTTGGAACCATGAGGATTCAAATGCTATTTCACTTAACTTTGACAAGAAATCATACTTCATAGAATAGATCAATATTAATGTATATCTATACACTACAACGTGAATACAGCAGAATTCTTAATATTGACATTCTCTATGTACAACTATGATGATGATGAAAATCATACTGCATAAAACTTTACAGCTATTAAAAGATATAGAATCTGGTAGAGAATTAGATGTGAACAAAATCTGATGCACACCATATGTACTGTAGTTTATAACTATTCTGCTAGGTAGCGTTTTTAGGTAAGGTTCCAGCAGGAAGAAAGCAGGACAAGGTCTTCTAGCAGATCTAGCAGTCACCATGATAGCGAATTAATACATATATTTGAATAAAAGTCTTCTGGAATTGAATCTAATTTAATTACAACACATAGCAGTGACTGTGTTTTCAGTGCAGTTAGAATTTCCAGTTGAGTGGAGCGTAAACTGTCATGATTTAGTTTAATATGTCGTCTACATTAACTAGACAAAATGCCAATCTTCCATATAGAACTGCGTACTAGACACACAACATAAAAGTGTAGAGACAGTGACAGGACTTAGTACTGACCATAACTATACCACAAAAGCTTCAGTTTACAATATCTTGCTCATACTTTCTACGGAAATTTTTACATATTTTAGGGTAAAGCATTACAATGTAACATCAATGAGAGAAGTTCACAACCCTTCACTTACATGAATGATTTCTTTACATGAACACAGGGCTTTTGAATCATTATATAGTGGATCAAGTATGGAAAGAAAGAAATTTTCTTCAAGATTGAAGAATAAACAAAATTAAAACAACTAAAAGCAGAATGTAAAGAATTCTGATACTGGCTTCTTCATTGCAGGAAAATGAATGATACTTCAAAACTGCAAAACAAAAATCTCTTTAGAATTACAAATGCTCACAGACACTTCACATCATTGATGTGACAATGACAACTAGAAGGCTCGAAATACCACCTCTGCATGTGATGTCTAGTGCAGTTTAAAGAGTTTTCAGAGTCTCCTAAAATCTGTTTAGTGCAAGTACAGTTCGTCTGGTGTAGGTGATTTTCCTCCACAAGTACACGTTGGCAGAAAAATGTATTTCGAGCCCTGAACTAGCAGAAGCTGAAGACACAATGAATTCAAAGTGTTCCTGATTACAACTGTATTTCTTGGCACTTCAACGGACCACAGATCACATCATAGCACAGACTCTCACCCTACAGCCTATCTACATGTTGTGGTCAGGGTTTTTGGCTACACCTCTGGGGTGGAGCCCCTCTCTCTATCCCAACTGTTTATAACACAGCCTGCACAGATGTGAATGGATGAGTTTCACCTGAAATCCTCTTCATCACAAACACTGGAAGTGAATTTCACATAATCGACATGATGCTTTACTATCCTAATGAGGTCGAGATTTTGATAGGGTTTTTCATGGGATTAAAAACAAAAAATAGATAAATTAATTAGTAAATTATATATAGTATACATCTGTTAATCTATAGTGGGTCATGTCAGCTACATTTTGTGTAATTACAATACATACAGGAACTGCTATAATGTGAAGAAATGTTTCAGTTTAGAAATATCAAACTAAGCTTTTACACTGCCTATATTACATGTCTCAATGATTTGTGGCTGTTGGAAAATAAATGGTGTTTTGACATGACCCCTACTGTGTTGAGAACTCTAGCCTGGATAACAGCCGATTTGCTATGGCTCCTTGCACTCATTAGCCCCAATTTTCTGGGCCAGCGAGTGTAAGGTGCTCTGTAGCAAATTGGCTGGCACCCAGGCTAAGAGGACTCAATGACTGCTTCATTTTTCGATCTCCGTCAGTGTGTGCCACTGTGCGATTGGTCGGCGCGGATTGGCCAGCATGTCGCTCCAGTGTCGTAGCTCGGCGCCTGTGGCGTTGGGTCCCAGACGGAGCTCGCCGATTGGGTCGTTCTTACTGGTCCGGTCCCAGTCCATGACAGTGAGCTTCAACTCCACCCTCTGTTGGAGGAAGACAAAATATGAATATTCTATAGTTGCTACCCTAAAGTTGCGTTCCTAACATTGAGGGACTTGCCGGTAATTTTTAAAAAAGGGCTCAAAATATTTCTCACCTGGATCTGTTCAAAAGGCACCTCAAAGGTGAAGGACTCATTGTAGTAGGGGTTCAGGGTTCGCTTCTTGATGGTCGTCTTCTTCTTCTTCAGCCGCTTGTTGTTGCTGAAAAGCTGCATCTTCACGTAGGGATCTAAAAATAATGTGTAATACAGTTATAAGAAGATGTTCTTTTAAATTATAGTAACTTGTGTCAATATTATAAATACTGTAAATACTATATAACTACTAATTTTGGGTCCTAAGGAATGGTCATTCAAACCTGAAGAAGGCTTTAGAACAAACAGCCAATGACATGTACAGTACGTTGCAATGTAGCTTTAGCTATCAACAGAAAAGTACTGCTGGTAATGTGTAATGCTGCCCTGACCTGAGAGTCCGCCCACATCACATTTCTTCAGGTTCTTGGCCTCCAGGATGACAATGGTGAGCTTCCCTGCTGTGGGGACGTATCTCAGAGAGAAGCAGATGTCACCAGGACGGTCTCCCTAAAAACACACACGAAAAAAGAAACCGTTACGGATGATTTAATCTCTCTACGACAGTTCATACATGTGTATGAGTGTTAGAAAATCTCATTAAAAATTCATAATCATATACTGCAGTCATATCATATGATATGCAAGTTTCCATGCAGTACATGTTATGCAATTGTTGCACAGAAAAGATGAAATGCAAAGGATGCTGCAGTTTTGATACAAACTGCTAGGTGCCAGTGCTGCACTGTGCTCACCTCCTGTGCCCCATGAGCTGGCTGGATCTCACGCCATTCCTCGACCACGCGGGCCAGGTCGACAGACGACAGCGGAACGGACACCTCGCCGATCAGATCGTGCCGGGAGAAACGATCAAAATCGTAGACCAGGAACAGGATGATTTTATTGGAGAGTTCGCTAAACTTCAGGTCCTGAAACAAAATTGTTTTAAATCATAAAACAGCTTAGTATTTTTAGTCCAACAACACTTTATTCATTTATTCCAAAGAGTAACTAAGTTGTCTTCCTTAAGCTTGGTCCCATGAAAAAGCTGAATATGACTAGACTTTAAAATTAAAATTAAACTGCAAGATTTCAATGCCTGCTTCTTTTCATACGGAGACAACATAGAACTATAATCCTTGCTCTTCTATTTCCTCCAAATGTAAAATTACACCATAGTGCAGCTATATGATTCCCCCCCTTGTAGTAAGTTTTTATATTCTTTTTTCCCCTGTACACTCACAACTTTTCTGGCTATTCTGGCTCAGCATGTCAGTGACTTACCTTGAAGTTGAAGTACTCGTTGAATGTTGGGTTGAGGGTCTTTCTGTGGACTTTGGTCTCAAACCTTTTCTTCTTGTCCGGCAGAAGTTTGACTGTGACGTACGGGTCTGATGTCCCCGAGAAGTCCATGCCTGGGAGATTCTTGGCTTGTAAAACACCCACTCTCATCTATGGGAAAACACAATCAGTAAGTACAAATACTGTCGTACGCATGTAGCATGCGTAGTCCAGTGGTTAGCGATCCTGCCTCTGGACTAAGAGGTTGGGAGTTCGAAACCCGGCTGTTGTCGCTCACCCGACATGCACGCTACTCTTTAGGATCGCAGTCCATAGGAAGGGACGTTAATCAGGTTTTGAAAAGTCAATATTCTAGTCACCTATCTACATACATTTTATACTAATTTAAAAAATACTATCCAAATGTATATCTAACATTCATGAAGCAAAAATGCCAAAAAACGTGACAAAATGATTACTGGTAGGATCCTGGGCTGATTTTTGGGGTACCACCAGAAAAAAAGGACTCATATTGGGCTTATTTCTGCACTGTATTAATGCCCAAGGTATAAAATACTGCATGCAAACAAAACTGGAAATATTCTGAATAAGGCAATCTGTATGATATTGACAGATATATGTACTACCCTGAAATTGCATTGGATGGATATGGGATCAAGTGAATTTTTACAATTTTCAGAACTACCTTCCTTCAGTTTTCAATGGAATAATCTATATTAAGTTGGAGCTTACTAAGAAATGTATTCGTCACAGTAGCAACACCAGATAATTACAAATAAACTGAATATAATGAGGGAAAATTTGTTTGTTTCAGGGGGATCAACTTTATATCCATGTAGTCAGCCTTTAAGTTGGTATTTGCCACAAATGTATGCTGATAGCAAATAACATATCATTTCAAAAAGTTATTAACAAGCTTTCCAATCATATATAAAACAATGACATTGATAAAGCATACATGAATACAATCAACAAAATTATTATACAAAGTAGTTGAGTTGCCATAATTTGTTGCACAAGTTTATATTTACATCAGAAGATAGGGAAGTCAGTCTGGGCTGAACTCATTTTTCTTCGACAACAGACTTACTACCTACCAGTAGTGAAATAACTTTTTAATCAGCACCAAATCTGTATGGGTAACTGGGTTAGGCAGCAGAGAGAAGATTGAATGCTGACTCCAGAACAAGGTGTGAACAAGGCCTAGGGGGTAGTTCTCCCATTGCATTTGGGAAGATTCAAACCAAAGACTTTAAGAAAGAGTTTGGGAGTTAAACAGCACTTCCCGACAACATACTACACCTGCGCAAAAGAAGTAACGTATTGCGCATAGCACTTTGGAAGAATGTCTTATTTAAAGTTGTATTCGTGTATTCAAGGATGACATCCCTTCAGTAGTTTTCAAATGATGTGTCGGAAAAGATATCGTCTGCAACGAACAAAATTCTGATGCAACGTTGACCAAACATCCAACGTAGGCCAAGGATGGATGTTCACTGCCTCTATACACTAAAAGATATTTGGGGCTATTGACAGTTCTACAAGATTATAAATGTTGATTCCAGAGTTAACATACCAGGTTCTGCTGGAAGTCATAGTCCAATGAGAACTGCAGATGGCCCAGTTTGGGTGTGCCGTCGTCCTCGTCTCCGTAACTGTCAAGGTCATCCATATCAGGCTGGACCTGAAGGTCAATCACAGCAGCAGATAGATAGTCAGCATTTTGTACATGTACATAGTCTTACACACAGATACTGTAGGTATACATGTATTTGAACAGATTTAGATTATGATACAGCGTTCTAGCCAGCACCCATCTTTCCCTCATTTGATGGATTTTGCCACTCGTGACGGACATTTTGCCCAATCTGTCATCTTTGACAGACAAAAATCGGTGTATTAAGATATGGAAAGAAACATCATTAAACTACCAGGAATAGCATTACAGAAGGTCAAAATTGAGATGACGGAAAAAAATTTCAGCTTAAGATAAAGAAAGTGGGCTTAGTCTACCAGCAAATTTTGGGCCCTCAAAATGCAGGAATTAGTGTTTCAGAGGCTCAAGATTTCAAAATCCCCTAGGATTGTAGTGCTCAACAATTGGTGTTACATCAGACAAAATGGCGATGATGGAAAAAAATTTCAGGCTAGAACACTGCTACAGCATGGCACCATAACATACAAGATACATGTAGATAATGACAAACAAAAAAAGGTATTTTCAACCAGAAACCCTATTTCACCGTGCGTGTTCCACACCCCTTAGAACAATAACACCACAATATGCCTGTGAAACAACTCAGCAACCTTCTCTCTGGACACTAAATAATCAGGATTGCGGAGCTTCCCAAAGAATCCCTTCTTTTTCTTCTTCTTCTTCTTTTTTTCTCCACCTTCATCACTGGACTCTGATGAGGCATCAGAACCTGAATCGTCTCCGCCCTCCTAAAAGGTTTTTGATTAACGAAAGAGGAATGCAAAGTGCTGTTTATGTTAAGAATATCTTAATATTGTAGAAAAAATCATAGTGTTAATCAGAGGACTTGACATCAGCATATTTTAATTATATACATTTCAAATTTCAATGAACTTCCTTTACTTCTTAAACAGGTACATGAATACACTCAGGCTTAATGGAATATTTTTTAAAACATTTCTGAAATCAGTTTTCTATATGTTACTAGACACATAATTTTCTTTAAGATTAGTACATTGGACAAAAGACATTTAGGTTAGAACACGAACTTTTAACCAAATTTAAATTCATTTTCTTGTGCATTTATGTGAGTAGTGTTTTCAACAAGCTGAAAATTGAACAAGACACATTTGTTAACACAATGATTAAATTAGAATATGATTCTACCACATATTTTTTCACTTATTTTTCACGTCTTTCAAAAGTTGCTCCTCCACCAAATATACTGTCAACTAAAAGATTAGTACAAAACGTGGATTAGCTAAGCAAGGGTAGTTAAATAATAACCAAAATGCTCTGCTTTTCTACTTCCACGTCCGTCAAGCTTAAGCCATCCTCTTCATCTGTCTGCAGTTGAAAAGAAAGCAAAAGAGGCAGAATTTTAAGCAGAGTAAACACGACAGCAAATCCCGCACCGGCAGATTCGGCTCACCTCTGCAACCTCCCCACCATGTAACACCTGTTACATAAAGTTTCACCAATAAAGCCTCAACAGTGATCTAGACCCTTAAACCTACAGCACCAAATTTTCATCTGTCTTGTTGCCTAATAGACAAATGCAAATATGGTAGGGTACAGGAACAAATATTACAATTTTAATCACTTTTCAATTTCACAAAATCTCCCTTTCTAGAAAAGAATAATTTGAAACAGGCTGGAAGCCATTTCAAGCTATTCTTTCCCTTCTATACTCTATATACAATGTATGTCCCTGTATGTTGTACAAAGAAATTTGTCACACAAAAAACACATTTCAAAATGGAATATCTTTTGTTTGTTAAATTAAGCTAATAAGTTGCTAGATAGCTCCAAAATGAAACACTCATAATTTAGCTTGCCAATGTTTTATGAAGAATCAAATCAAGACGGGGAGCGCTACATACTTTCTGCAACCTATGATCCTATATTCCTTTACAAAGAGTTGTACTGTCAAAAATTTGGATAAGCCCAATTCCTTCTGTCGGAAATTTTACTTCAAGCTTGCTTGATAACAATACCACATATTTTTTTGTTGGTACATGTACAATTTTCTTCTGTGAAAAGTTAGTGGAAAGGAAAAACACCCATGCAGCCACCTTTTCCTTGTACTGGTTTCCGAGCATTTTCACCTCCTGGAGGTCGACCGAGTCCTTCAGGCCCTTCTTGCCCTGTTTGGGTTTCTTCTTCTTGCAGCAGCATTTCTTACAGATGCAGATCACACAGCACAGAAGGAGCAGGGCTGCAACCACACCGATCGCTATCACTGCCCAGAATGGAACTGGAACAAGGAAGTTAATGAAAACAGTTAGGATGTTTTTTGCAACGGTATGTTTGCAATAACTAGCAAAAGTTTGCGGTCTGACAAAAATGAACATGTTTGCAGAACTATATGTTCGCTGTGGCAGCAGGTGCAGCAAAAAAAAGTCAGCAAATTATTAAGTAATTAATAATGAAAAGTTCATGGTACGGATAAGACCGCAAATACCATGAATACAAAAATATGTGGGCAGTAAAAAAAGTGTCAGATTTACAGTACTTGTTTGTTTTCCATAACAGTTAAACATGTTATGTTACACACCAGTTTTATACACTAAAATAGAAAGGACTCCTTCAAACAAATTTACTTCTCAAAGACTTTCAGATTTTAATTTCTTTGCTTTAATCCAATCTGTATATTTAATAAATAAACATGTACTATTTATTACATACAAAAACCAAACACATCTGATTATGAGTCAGGACAGCACTCTTGCTGGCACTTACTAGGCAGTTCTTTTAACTTCTCCACGGCATTATTGAACAGCCCTTCGATGAGTGTTCCGTTCGTAGCCGGCGCTTTTGTGGTGACCACTGGGGGGGCTGCTGCCTGGGTTGTCATGGTTACAGCCGATGTCCGCTGCTACAACCCAGCAACTACTAGTAATAAACAGTCACGACCTGTAAGATACAATAATCACAGATATTATAGTACCTGTATACAGACTGTTTTAAAGGCAGCCAATGCAATTTTAGGGCGGCACTTTGCAAAACTGCAGGATTTTCTGGTCATTCCTTTAATGTTAGTAACTTGAAACAACCCTATCCCTATAGCAATTATCTGTGAGGCACGAATGTGATGTGACTGATGAAAAACGGTGGCTTGTTTTATATCACAGGCTGGTTCTAGCTGTATTTATGGGTGGCACCAAAAAATAAAGGGATTCCTCACATAGCTTATTTTTTGGGTTATTTTCAACACTTCAAGTATGAAATGATGACAAAAATATGCTTAGAAATGGCAGTAAATGTCAATATCAGACAGATTTCCTCATCCAGAATATCTCTTTTGCTTTGCCACACTGAAGATTGCATTGGATGCCTGGAAGTTTGAGAGACTCTTTTTTTGCTGCAGGGGGAAAACAGGCATTAGCAGTGTCCCCATTTGCAAAAATTGAAGACGACAAACTAGTCAAAACCATTACTGTAAAGTGCCTATGATTTTTGGTACGGATTGCTTTTTCTCGACAAGGGAACAAGGGCACTGTGCCCTCTAACTCTCAGTATGCAACTTCCTACTCTTGAGAAAAGGTTCTGTCAAAAGTGGAGAATTTGGATTGACCACTACTGACCAGGCCAGACCACAGGTGACCAGCCTTTCTCTGTGTCTTGTCTGTCCATATTTTCATCTAAAAGCCTAAAAGCTCAAACTGTACTACAACCTTGCAATCCCTTGCTTTACCATCAAACTTTTATTTTTCCAGAAAAGTCTACAGTCAATACTACCAAAGGAGCCCACTCAGGAGACCAATAAAATCTGGTCTATGTGGACAGATAGACACTTAAAAGATGGAAATTTTAATCATGCTTGTGTCAGTGGGGAAAATCTAAGGGACTGCCAAAAAGTGGCCACATTTGCACTTGTACAGGTTGGACTGTAGAGAAGCAAATTATGACATAATTGGATTGTACGTTGTATATATACACTGATACAGACTTTTGAAATGCATTGCTTCTGCCAAACTGATAAAACAGGAAACATTAACTATCTTGCCTGATGAGCCAGGCCTAACAAGTGGCTGATAATCTCTGTACGTCACAGACACGACTAGATAACGTTTAGATTGATAATGGCCGTCCCTGCGTAGGACAGGCTTACGAGAAAAATGTCGGGCAGAACGTGACTGTTGTTCATGATAAAGATATGCCACAGTAAAATATATCTGCTAAAGTATGGAACATTCTGGAAGTATTTTACATATATGTATACATGTAGTAGGCCTTGGATATGTTGAATGATGTTCTGCAAAGGCAATTTTTCAGCTAGAAAGAAACTTTATGGGCCTGTCTAGATTATTGAAAAGTACATGTTGAGAAACTCAAAATGACAGGAAATTTGTAGTTTATGATTACACTTATGACATTGTTTAACCTTCTCCCTGCTGAAATTATAGTTTTTTTTTTGGTCACCAAATTTGTATTTCTTATGGGGGTTATAATTTAGGCAGCAGGGAGAGGGTTGAGAATCCAGAAAAAAGAGAATCCAAAGCTGACTCGAAAAGCTCACTCCTGTTTCCCAACTGACCAGGACCAATGACAACTTGAGCTCCTACGCATAGACAATAAAGTTAGGATGACAAACAGAAGTCCTCTCTCCAAATCCCAGTGACTCACATAGAAAAAGCTATTCTGCTGACGCCATTCCTTTGCCCATTTCTTAGAAGCCCAAGCTCTCACTTCTATAGCTTTAGTGACAACTGGATTGGTGTTTTAGCCATGCAGCATTCGTCTTTCCATCATTTGACGGAATTTTGAAACTCATGACAGATACAAATTTTGCCCAATATGTCATCTTTGATGCCTGCGTGTAAAGATATAGAAAGAGATGTCATTAAACTAAATGTAAGCTTAAATCTACCGGCATAATTTGCCCCTCAAAATGTACGAAATATTCAGTTCCATTTCAGAGGGTGAAGATTTCAAAATTTTCCCAGGGGAGCATCCTTATGTATCCCGTAGGATTCTCAAACAAATTGAGATGACGGAAAAAAAATCCAGCTGGCCAGAAAACTCTAATGTCTGGATTGAGCTACGTTTAGAACATTTGTACGTAGCACCTTTGCAGAGTTGTCCATTCTTTCATTCACAGGTAACTGCATATTGATCGATACCTATCTACCAGCTGTTGGACACAATTTCTCACTGTCAGACAGACATCCCACGATGTGACTGAACTGTACAATAAGCCAGATAGTCATGCACCTATTGATTTCAATATAGTTATCTTGTCACTTTTGGCATCTCCGAAAATGAAATGAGGCTGTGTGCATGCGGCGTCACATGGTACATCATGGAATGGGGGCAAAAGGCCAAAAGAATCTCAAACTTTATGAACTGCTCTGACTATCCTTTCTAAATCTCCCTTTTCTGGTAATATAGACTAATGATCAGGGCTCGAAATTCATTTTGGGGAATAGGTGCACTGGAGACACAACCTAAAAATTGGGTACACAAAAAATTTTTGGGTGCACCATATAAAATAAAATTTGTAGAATGTCAGCAAAAACTTATTATGTTTCCTTTCTAAAGAAAAGTACTACAACAATGATTTTATTATTTTTCTGACACTTAGATGTTAAGAATATACTGCTTTGTTTACTACTATACATTTAACATCTTTACATAGTATTACATAAACCTATATTTGGGTGCACCCACAGAAAAAAAACTGGGTGCACAGCTCCAAATTTGCACATGCATCCAGTATTTCAAGCCCTAACATTGATGATAGCAGTACTATGATTGTGTACAAACAATACTAAAAGTATAGCAAGAATTCTAATTTCAACTGTCATTTTACATTTTCAGATAAAAGATACACAATGTATACAGTATAACTACACCTAGTAATACAAGAGTGTGAAATTATTGATTCAAAGTAACATACAGTAGTTCAATGCCCGACTATAAGTAATATGAACATTATCATAAAGCCTTCATCATAGAAATCAATTTCATAACTGTGAACTTGACATACGTCCCACAATTATTGGAAAACTATCAGTGGGCTATATAGATTGATGCCCACCTGGCTTCTATAATTCAATTTTCTCACAAGTACTTAAGACTAGTTTCTCAAGTGACGATAATTCTTCATAAAACTTTCTGATCAATAAATGTAAGACCACTGCATGATGAGATGTACAGAATATGAACTCAAACCTTAATCCTTAGACTTTCTTCTTGCATAAGGAATAAAACTGGCAAAAGATAACTCTCAATGCATCTATGTTTAACATTGCTCAATTCTGTGGTAGCAATTGTACTAAAACAAGACAGAACAATTTTTGGAAGGTGCAAAATGTAATGAGTACATGTACAATGTAATTGATGAGAGATATACATGTACTTGTAGCACAAAATCTGCAAACACCCATAAAACCACTGCAAATATTTCATGATTTACTGTACACAGAAAAGTTAGCTCTGAGAGCTCTGCCACCAATGCTAGCACACTGCAGAAGTTATGTGCAGGTATTCTCTATGTTAATGTGTTGCGGCATCCCATCTCAATTGAGCCTTGACGGGTCCGCCCTCTTCCCTACAGGTTCACTTGACAAATGCGAGGTACTTTACATGTCGGATCTGTTTTACCATTACAGGAAGGACTGTAGGGCATCCTAGCATGGTCCTGATCGATGTTGTTTTCACCTAACTGCAGATTTGGGATGGGCAGATCATTTCAAGGAAGGATGGAACTCACCATTCATTAATTCTGTTAGGCCACACCAAGTAATTTTTATGGATGACGTCCTCTGGAGACCCTAAATCTAATGCAAGAGTGTTAAAAAAAATGAGATGGGCCGAAAAAACAAGATGTCTATGAAATATACCAAAGGACGACAAATGTTAGGGCACAAATTGAATGAGAGACCACAGAGTAACAACCAACAAGTTCTTTTATTCGTCACAAAAACTGCCATAAATCGGTGGAACAGTAGTTGTCGTCCTGTCCTGTCTCTTGTGCTCATATTTTGCATTACGGGTTTTACTTTAATCTTACAATTTGCGGCACTCTCGTGACTCTTTGGTCATAATTACAGGAAGTGAAATTTCTTCTTTTTTTTCTTTTTAGGAACAGGCCAAAATCAATACACGTATGGACGTCGTCCATAAAATTTACTTGGGGTGGCCTAATACGACCACATCTGTAGACTAGTATCACATTTGGAAACTGTCCAGCTGACTTTGAGCAGTGATTCGGGTACACCGCAGCCATGTATTACAGGATTACACTACATCAGATTGGCAGAGATCTGAATATTAGGACTGTAATTGTGCCTATCTGTGAATCTGACCCGGCTTTATGCACTATCTCTAAGTGCTCATATCCTTGGGTAAAAGGAATAGAGCTTTACAGGCAGATCGTATCTTGTAAGAACAGGACTTAATGTCTAAGAAAAACACATAACTCCAACAGGCAGATGCTTTGTAAAGAGGAAAAGGAGATCAGTTTAAGACGAGTACAAAGGATCTGTTGCATCTTAATGTTAGTTTAGAGCTTCGAAAAGCCTGTAGATCTCAAGTAACATAGATTTGTGTTCTTAAAAAAACTTGCTTTAAAGCCTGACTAAAGTTAAAAGCAACATAAATTGAGGCAACCACTTGACCTTTGGATGTACCCATTTCTAGTCCTTTGATTTTTTAAAGAAGGTTTTAAATAATTAAAGCCATTAAAAGATATTGATTTTCTTCGTTTCTTCTTCTGTTCCAAACATATAAGGTCAATGACTTGGACCAGATGTCTGTCACCATGGTTACTTGGTGCTGTAGCAGACACCCTGTGGTGTGGTATTACATTATGTAGCAAGTGGCATGTCAGTTGGAGGGGCTGGTCATAATATATATGTAATATGATTATGAAATTTGTTTGAGTGAGAATAAACAGAACAGCACCAGTTACTATTGTTACAGTACTAGTTTCGTAGGCTAGACCAGGTGAAGGTAAATCATTTACTAAATGATTATGCATTTGCTTTACAAACGTTACCTTTCCAGTTTGATTTATTTAACAGTAATAAATCATGAAGCAAACCTTCATCTGCGTATTCAAAGCCAAAGTTTCTAACAGAACAGTAAGAGTAATAGATCATGTGAAACATTTGGTCACATCCAATGTCACAGTGTGCAGCCAGGCTTGACTGAAGACATGCCCAGGAGACCACCCATAGCTGTGCCCTTTGGTGTTCCAACTAACACTGTAAAAAGGTCATATAGACTTCGCTAATCAATTTGGAAATGATTTATGGCAGTGAACCTGGCCATTATACGCAACAATGCCTTTCCTTTACCCAGTCACTAGAGAACATTATGGAGACTAAATACATTCAAGAAGGAAAAGACTTCAGGTTTTTGTTTGCTAAAGTATATAGTTTCAGCTTAAAGATCTGGGCTAAGATTTTGTGTGACAAAGGCTTTACAATGTATTTGGATACTACCAGTCTTTCACAATGAAGATGAATTTGACTAGTTACCTATTCAGTTCAAATACCACAAGTGTTGACCAAATAAGGTACTATTTCAAGGCAAAGTTCACAGAACATGACGCAATCCTGAGGTTTTATCATGTCTTTTTTTCACCACTCACTCAGCAACTTGCCTCTTGGCTACAGTTCCAAAAACGGCGCATACTTTCAAAAGATTTGAGAGCACTAACGTCTGTCCAGACAACTCCTCTTAAAGTATCAGGAATATTCCCTGCTAGCTATCAAGATATCCCTACTTACAGGAAGTCATTCTGTAGCACAGAAACTATTCCAATCCTTCCCAATGGAGTATAGGGCTTTGCCTATTTCTGTATCCGTAGTGTAATCACTCTAGCAGGTAGTAGGGTATGATTGAGTGCTAAGCAGAGAAAGCGTTATGTACCAAAGTCTACTGGGTTTGAACACGCGACGCCTTGATTACAAAGCACAGAAACTATGTCTGAGTCATAATGTTTGCAGCACACTAAGAGCTATTAGGATAAGACGTCATGGTTAGAAACTTGGCTAAGAGTAACTGTTCTAAACATGTGCATTAAGTAAGGGATATTCCATGTCCAAATGGGGGGATGTCATTTCCTTATAATTGCCAATTATAAATGGTTCTTGACTTGCCTGCCCTTTCATTTCAAATAATTTTTCAAATGTCCACCCTGACCTTTGGAAGAATGAAATTGAACATTCAACAAGTGTATGCATATTTCTTGGCATAGAAGAATTAAATACCATTGTGCAATGTATAATGTATTACACTATTACATACTAAACAACAATCTTGGTAAATACTAAATGGTGGTCCAAACTTTCCAAAAAATTTCATTTCAACTTCCTTACACATATCCTTTCAGTTGAATACACTAAAAGCATATAGATGTTCCTTTTATATTGAGTTCAAGATTTATTGTTAGATTGAAACTAAGTCCTTACAATCTGAGAGTGCATCAGTTTAGAGTGTTTCTATATGTCTTGATTTAAAAACATTATCATATGACTGTATATCATACAGTTCTGGGCTGGAAAATGCATCTTACTACATAAGGGAAGAGCACACTAAGTTGTAGCTTGAATTTATATCTAATCTGAAGAATGTATTATGCACTTTATGGATAGATATATAGCTAGGTTCAAGCAACTTTTTTTATAAATATCTTGTCATGTTGAGAATAGACTACATTAGTTTTTTGGGGGTATACTACAATGGATAAAGGTAGAAGAAGGACTAACAAAACATTGGCAATTAAATACTTAGTTAACAACAAGAACAGTATTTAAGACTTTTTTTATTGTTGACAGCTATACATGTTGTGTTAAAAACTGGTCATCCTTTGGAACACAATGCACAAAAGTTCATGTTCATGTACACTGAAGCATGCAATAGTGCATAGCCACAAAAACTCTGTTCTGCATGCTTGTACATATATACTGTTGCTCAACCATAAGAAAAAAGCTTTAGAAAATGAACTTTGCACAAGAAGCTGAATCAATTCTCATCTTGAGCTTCCAATATCACGTCCCTTTGAAACCAGACATCACATGTTATGATGATCGATATTAAAACAAAGGGCAGGATGTTACATTGATCTAATACAGACTGCATGGACATGTGTGTGTCCTTATTGTTTGGGTTAGGGAGGAGACACGTTGCAGATTGCGTGAGTACTAATCGATGTAGGTTATACTGGGACAGAAAACTGGAACCGAAAACTGACCAACTGGGATTGTAGTACTAGTAGACCATAAGAAAGTTTCTGTACTTCTGTCGAGTCAATAAAGAATCTTGTATCATACATGTAATAATATCACGTCATTAAGAGCAGTACTTTTTCAATGCCGTCAACAAAAGAGACTTTCTCTGAAGACTATGGAATGCCACCATGATTTCTGAACCCAGTGTTCTAGTTTAACCTTTTCCCTGCTGCCTTACCCCATAACCAATACAAATTTGGTGGCAAACGGCTACCTTAGCAGACTGAAGGTTAACCAAACATGTTAAACCCTCTATGTTAAGTCACAACACGAAGTAACATTCCCTAGTTACTGTGTAAGCAAGACTAGGTCTATAACCTTTAACACACTGAAGTTCTCAATTGATTATGGGGTTAGGCAGCAGGGAGAATGTTAACAGACCTCACAACTTGTTGCTCTATACTTTACAGCAAAATTCTTACCCTTTATGTTAATAAATGTTGGACAAGCATTTCTTGCAAATCAGCACTCGTGACCAAACTTACAGCTGAACCTCGAGTGTTTAACATTAAACAAGTTGAGTACATACAAACAGAAATGGCGACTGTCGCTACTGCTAACCTAACACATAATCAATACCTATATGTGCCTTAGATAGCCATCTAAATGGACGAACAAACTTCCCTTCCTACCTCAGTGTCTTCCTGTCGTAGGAGACGATACGCAAGCTGGAGTTCTGACGTTACAATCCCTCACGTCCTACGTGAACCTTGTGCTTTCAAAAACACCCCTGGGGTTCCATCAGGAGATTTACATTTTGAAGGAGTAGATCCGTCTTGTTGACAAGCTTGAATCCAAAACTCCTACAGGTACACTTTTATGGAGTTCCTCAGTACAACCTTGTCTCTTCCCCTGAGCTGGTACATTATAAGTTACACAGGTCGTTTCCTTCTAAAGACTATACCACTGATGATAGCTTAGGGGAGTATAGCCTCTGTAAAGAACCTAAAATCTTTACAAAACACACTTATATTGTAAGAATAACGCTTTGATCATATTCAATTCAATGCTTGCATATTCCTTACCCAATTCAAAGATGTTTGGATTGTTCAATTTCTGGAAAAAAATAAAATAAAAATGCCCAACACCCCTGACTTTTCTCTTTTTCCCTGAACCGTGTAGAGTCACCCGGCAGCCAGGTATTTGCACATCAAATGAAGTCGTGACGCAGGGCAGACGACGCCCAACCACACACTACGCACACCCACAACAAAAGAACCAAAAACATCCTTGAACAAAACTAACAAACAAACAACACCTCCGGTTAGGTCTTTTCTGGCAAATAATGCTAGATAACATCATGAAAATATGCATCTTTTATTCATAATAGTTGGGTATCAGTTTTTCTTTCCATGTTTATACCATAAACAACTTTGTTGTGGGTAAAAACGACACCACCTTTTGCCTGAGCTAACAGAGCAGAAAGGACCTACTATCGCCTTCCCTCTTAAAATCCCTGAATAAACAAGGTAACTAGGAGACTGGCCATGTAAGAAAGACCAGGTGTGAATACCTTCACCCAAGGGTACAGATACAGAAGATTTAGTGTTCCAGTTTTGCTTTTTGAACTTTGGGAATTCTACTGAAGGCTTCAAGAGAACTCATTGACCCTGCTATTGTTGATTTACGCTATTGTTGACACAAATTTAGCAGGGCCTAGGAAAATTAATGTTGTGTTTTTAGTTAATTTTCATCCTAAAAAAACTTAGGGTCAGTAGGTAGAGATTCTCTTTTCTTTAGTTTTTTTGCTAAGCTTTTTTTAACTTAGCTTTTTTTAGCTTACCTTTTTTTTAGATTTCAGCTGGAGATGTAACAAATACCAAGGAGGTTAAAATTTTTAACCTCCTTGCAAATACAGATCATTAAATAAAACTGAAATACAGTATAGTGGCCAGTGATCGAAGAAAATAAAGGCTAGGGTTGGTGGTTTTTGCTAGGGTCAGTCAGGAAAACCGGAACACAACAATTTTTTTCCCTAGGCCCAAGCAAAGTAGCTCACTTGAGGGTTAATATTTAAGGTAACTAATTCTGTTTCTGACAGATATTATGGCAAAATCTACACTATGATCTAGAGATATGCACCGTCTTTTATGTTCTAAGGTCCCAACGTGAACACATATCAGTTTAAAGGAATGCATCTAGCACAAATGGACTTGGCAAGCCCATAGTGTCATTATTTAGAACTAAAAGTGTTTCTGCCCTAAGCCATACATACAAGAATGGTGTAGAAAGCTATGGAGGTTCATCTATTACAAACCTTTACTGTGCAGAGTAGTTAAGCTAGTGCAGTTTGTTACTCCCCTTGACGGCATCCATTTCAAAGACGCCTCCTTCAAATGGATTTTCTAAGCACTTTCAACATGTAGCATACGCGTTATTAGTGGAAGCCGGAAAATAATTTCTGTTCTCAATAGCCAATTTGATTCCATGGGTTTTCTTGGTTTTTTTTAAGATTATGGGCTAGGCCCAATATTCATGTAAAAAAGGCAAAGGGCCCCTGGCTATTGCATGAATAGATGTTTCTAAAAATATGACAATTAATCCTTATGAATGCAAAAACCCTTAAAGTTATTATCATATCAATGAATGCACCAGTACCTATGCTGCAACATGCATTGTTACACTTGTACTCTGATATCAAGAAGTGAAATTTCCATAGACTAGTTCTAAAAATGTTCCTCGCAAATTAAAAAAAAACCTCAAAGACTTCTAAAACATGAATGAACTCACCCTTTCATACATGTATGCATTGTTACATCAAACATTTTGTGATCCATAAGTGAACAAGCGAAATCTGAGGCTCACACAGACTATATTGCTAATGCTTATATCATCTTTTCCAAAAATAGCAATTCTCTTCAGATAGGAACTATACTTGAATACTTCTCCCATTATTACCCTTGGGTATTCTCCTGGGCCAGTGTGCTACTGTATTTCACTTTGTCTTTACGGTAAGAAAATTTCAGTGTTGGAGGAAAAATAGACATGTTGACAGAACTTAATCTTTACAGTGATGAGAGAGGGGTTGAAAGACATATGATTTTGATAATGGTAATAATTTCAGGTATAGAAGTAACCTTGAAAACAGTGCATTTTAAAGTACTGTGAAAAAATGAGAAATTACGGTAGCTTCTATTTCTGCTTGTTGTGTAGGCAGAAGGACTCCTGGGGACTTTTTCAACTGAGCATGAAATCACCATTTTCCTCTTCAGTTCACGGTGTAATCAGGAACATCCCCCTATCAGTAGGGGTTCTCTTATCATTTTGGCTACTGTCAAACTCTTTAATATGTTGATAAGGGGGGATGAAAACAAGATAGTGGTAGGAAATACCTGTATTATACAGTATGTATATCCATACATTCGATTGTACAACTTGTATGTAAATGGTATCTGGTACAATTATTGTAATTGCCAAACTCTTTACTTTCTTGAATAAGGAAAAAAACAAGATACTAATACATGTAGGAAATGTACATGTTATACGTACATCCATGACGTAACTAGATTGGTACATGTATCATTCTGGGCAGTGTCAAACTCTTAAATTTGTTGATAATGGAGTAGGAAAACATGATAATGGCAGTAATTATGATGTACATTCATGTACAACATGTAATTACTATGTAAATGATATCTGGTAACTGTCAAACTCTTTAGATTTTAACATGTTGTTGATAAGTGAGTATGGAAACAAGGTAATGGTAGGAAATACTATATTATTATGCGCATCCATGATCTAACTGCGACATGTATGAGCATGTAAAAGGTATCATTCTGGAAACTGTCAAACTCATGAACTTTAAAAAAATTTTGTCAATAAGGGCTAATGAAAACAAGGTAATGGTAGAAAATAATATGTGCATCCATTGAACTACTATGTATTTACTAAACAAAGAGCAAATATACGTATGTGCCATTAACAAATCGATAGACAACTTTACATTATGATGTATCAGGTCATTCAACCACAGAAAGAAACACACAGACACACACATACCGACAAGCCCCAAACAATATTGTTATGATACAGCAACAATCTTTCATGACAAAAGCCAGGGCAACAAAATATGAAATTGGCACAAAAGTTTATAAACTAAATTAAAATATTCCAGGACTCTAACTCTTAATGTCCTTATAGTTTGGTTTAGGAAGAATGCTATACAACATACAGTTGGACCTTGTACTGCAAAGGAACGTCCTTCATGTATAATTCACCAGAGAGGAGAAATTGCCTTACATGAGATTGGACTCTAAACTGCGCTCATAACTGCCCATCCTATGGCATCCTGGAGTCATTTTCCAATTCATATCACATCAACAAGTCATCACACATTTTTTTACCCATGTTATCCACTACATACTGATTTCATTCTGTATTCAAGGAATGCTGAAGAAGTTAATTTTTTTAATTTCTCTTAAGTGGAAATATTTCCTTGGTTCAAGATCATTATAATACACTGAATGCCCAAATACAGGTAGGAAATATATGAAAGATGCCTGAAAAATTAGCCATTAATATGCAAAAAGTACAGTAAAGAAATTACCAATTATTGTGCTCAATTCACACTGAATGAGCTTTATATAGTTCATCTACTTACAATATATTCAGTATGTAGTTTCTAACAAATTTGCTTAAAGCTTAAATCATTGCAACACATAATTCCATAATCCAGTTGTGTAACACTGCGAGTACTTTGTATTCATCATGACAACATCCTCTTATGTAACCATGTATGAAAATATAGGACTGGGATCAGACATTACTGTAATACTTATTGGCCCTACTGCTGAAAAAGTGGCAAGGGTGAAATTACAACCATCAAGCCAAGATAGGATGTAATAAAATGGCTCTCCATGCAGTAATATCATACAAGCATCTCCAATGGCCCAAGAAACACCCCCAAAAGACCGTGCCCTGCAGATGCACTTTTCTTACAAAATATGCCCAGTACAAAGTACATTTACCATTTTTTCTGCAACCTAGGTCAAAAAGACTTCCTTGTTTTCAGTTTGTATGTGTGAGACAGAGTTTTAAAAGTTGCTGTTACAATGTAAATGTAAGTCTCTACAATACTAAGTCTTCTTTATGGGACAGAGAAAATAAAACTAGTAGAACTCAGGCTACTACTAGCTAGGAGAAATGACTTGTCTGAAGTTGTCAGAAAAGTTAGGCCACAATAAACTACTTGGCCAGCTTCTACTAACCCACAAAGGAGTTTCCTAACAGAGATTACACAATGTAGAACCTAAATAGATATGACACCAAAATGAAGAAAAAATTAAACGCATCTTGGGTCAAATCAGTTTTAGTGCACCTGTTTCAATATGTGCTATAAATGCTAATCTTTCTAGGTGAATAAAAGTAGGGCACAATTTTGTTAATATAAAACTTGACAGCCAATATGGCATTCTACGTACTATGGTATGCTAACAAATTAATATTTATTATCTTTCCAATAAGGGAAGTACCTACCAATAACGTTGGGCCCACGTTTTTTACCACGTGCGATATAAAATCCTACACCTCGCTCCCTCCGCAGCTAAGGACCGTACAAGAGCGGGCTATGTGACGTACACCGAACTACGGTCAGTCTTTTGGGTCTTGTTGTCATGGTTACCAACAATCTAGGACATTTTAATCACGACTCCTGCCACTGCTGAACTTCAAAACACCATTATTGATGGAGGGGGACATGCCAAACAACAATTAGGACCAGTTGATAAGAGGGTTGTATCAAGATGTACATTCCTGCAAAGGGCTCGGTATCAGAGAAACCCCGGGACTTGAGAGGCAGCGGGATATTTGTTGAGTCTACAGGAGAACTAAATCTAGATTACAGTTCTGTTTGGCAGTATAGAAAGTAAGAGGCAATATATTATAGAAAGAAGAAATAAAGTAAAAGC